TGGGCGACGGAGTAAAACTCCAACTCAAAAAAAAAAAAAAAAATTGGTTGTTGGCAAATTATGTTAAGGGGAAGTCTGAATGTATTACTGTTGTCCAGAAGATCCTCACGCTAAAGCCTCTGGACATACTCCTACTGACACTTTTATCTAAAAGTGTAGCATAAACATTAAAATAGAAAAGTGAAACTTTCCTATGGATATGAGTGATGAGCCTTTGGCACAAGAAGGATCTCTTCCCTTTGCCTCTATCCATCATTCAGCTAATTTTCACCCAGATTTTTTTCTGAGCCAGGGTCTCACTCTGTTGCCCAGGCTGGAGTGCAGTGGCACAACCACAGTTCACCGAAGCCTCAACCACCAAGAGGCAGGCAATCTTCCTGCCTCAGCCTCTAGAGTAGCAAGGACTACAGGCACACACCACCACACGTGGCTGTTTCTTGATTTTTTTTTTTGTAGAGACGAGGTCTTGCATTCCTGGGTTCAAGCAATCCTTCCACCTTGACCTCCCAGAGTGCTGGGGTAGGAAGTACAAACCACCACACCCTGACATCCATCATTGTTTTGAAGACTTTCTTGCAATAAGACATACTGGTCTCTCCTTCTGAGCCAGTCAGCTAAGAGAAGCGAAGGCAACCAACTTCAGACCATTTTAAGAGGCAAAAGAGAAAGCTGCTTTCTGTTAAATAATTCACTCCACGTTGCAACAATCCTTTGTCTCCTGCTAACTTCATTCCATTAGTTTTTCCCTAGAGGACATACAACGTAATTGTTTTTTCAGTGCTCTACAAATGATCACAGTTTTAAATAAACACAATTTTATACATTAATGTCTTGAAACAACGTATCAGTAGTTCTTTCACTTCTGATAAACTTTATGATGCAATGAAAACCAAGGTCATCAATTCCTTACATCAATTCCTTATCACTATTAACTGTGATTAGGGGCAGAAACCTTCCTCGAAGGCCATAGTTATGCCTGGAATTCAACAATACAAAAGGGTTTCCAAATAAACCTGTTGTACATGCCGTCCTAGAAAACCCAGACTTCAGATCTGCAGTAAACAAAAAGCACTGCTTTCATTTCTGGCCTGTGTTGTATGGCGTATCTTAATACCCAGGGGTACTCGCTTGCTGGTTGAGGACGGCCCACATTAGCTACAGGTGAAGCCTCAGACAAGTGCATTCACCTCGGTAGGCCTTAATGAAGTAAGGGTGGCCAAGGTCAAACCCCGGGCCCCAGTACATGATGTCCATCCTCACCTGTGCCAAGGCAAACCACTCCTCGGGGTCCAAAGCATGCTGGAAGTCTTCTAAGTAACAGTCAAGAAGCTGCAATAAGGTTGAGGGTCAGGGAATAGCAGAGACAGCCCCAGAGCCCAGCAAAGAGAGGGGACGCCCACCCTGGAGCGGGCAGATGTAGCCCCAATGTGACAGAGCAGTCAGGAAATGCAGAGTTGGGGTGGCAAGGGAAAGGGCATGTGCCTTGGAGCCGAAGGACTGGATTTGGGTTTGAGCTTCGGTTTCCATACTCTCTCTCCCCATCACCACAAATAAAAAGGGGGTTATAGAATTATAACAATATGTAATAATTACAAACTTTAGTGAAATGGCACATTCAAAGGCATTTCAAATATGGGTATCTCCCACACCTTTCTCCAAGGACATGTTCCCCTTCCTCCATTATTCCATCACCAAGCTAGGCAGGTGGTGTTTCGTCTTCTATATCCTCAGGCCCACCTCTAACCCCTCCTCTTTCACAATTTGCCCAAATTTGACCTACATAAAAATGATGGGAGCTGGGTGTGGTGGCTTATGCCTGTAATCCCAGCACTTTGGGAGGTCTAGACCAGAGGATCACTTGAACTCAAGAGTTTGAGACCAGCCTGGACAACATAGTGAGACCTCACCTCTACTTTAAGCAAAATTAGCAAGGTGTAGTGGCTTGTGCCTGTGGTGCCAGCTACTCAGGAAGCTGAGGCAGAAGGATCGCCAGAGAACAGGAGGTCAAGGCTGTGGTGAGCCGTGATTGTGCCACTGTCCCCCAGCCTGGGTGAAAGAGACCCTGACTCAAACAAAACAAAACAAAACAAATAAAATGATGGGAATGAGAGAAAGACTGAGGGTAGAAATGCTTCCGAATACAAAGTGATCTAGTCCAGACTGGATTCCTCTGGGAAGGGCCTTGAAAACAGAACTCTCTAAGGCATCAACTGTACAAAACCCCAATGGAGCTTCTGTTTTAATAGAGTCTTTTCTAGGAACCAAAGGAAGCTTCCAAATGTTAACTTTTGAAGGTTTTTCATGTAGGTATTCAGAAAGAGATGCCTCTTTATTTTGCTTTTACATTTGTCTGTGAGTTTAAGGAATTTCTGTTTTGTGTGTAAATTTTATCTGTGTGTGATTAGTCATGAAGCTGATCAGAAAAAGTCCTTCAGAGATTGAGGGGTGGGGATCCCACACTAGGACCCTAGGGCACAACAGGTAGCCCAAATCCATGAAGTACATAATGAAAGGACAGAGCCCCAAATGGAGTTTCTTTGGTCTCCTTGAGCTCATACATGACAATAATTCTTTCCCAGAACCCTGGGTCAATCACAAGACATTAAGATTAACAGCTCCCAGCTGGGCTCGGTGGCTCAGCCTGTAATCCTGCGCCTTGGGTGACTGAGGTGAGTGGATTGCCTGAGCCTGTGGGTTCGAGACCCACCTGGGCAACTTGGTGAGCCCTCATCTCTACAATAAATCAAAAAAATTAGCC